ACGCTCAGAGAGCCTTAGGTTTGCCCGAATGCCAACCCGTTTTTCCACTCTCACATTTCGCCTGTTGCGAACCTTTGTGTGGTCTCAATAGCCATGCAGTAAGCAGTGTGCTATGGCATGGATATTCAAGTGTACTTGAATGGCATCTGTTTGTTTTAGTCAAGATTATGCTAAAATATACTTTCAAGTTCCCTATGAAGAGCCAACCTTCAATTTCCCTGTTTATTCCCATAAATTCCCGTTTATTCTCGTTTATTCCCGTTTATTCCCGTTAATTCCCGTTAATTCCCGTGGAAAGTTTCCATCTTTGAAAATTCCCGGAATTTTGCAACCCTACAAGGAATAAGACCTGCCCTTTGTCAAAAAACAAACCAGTCAGGGCTGATTTTTTTAACAGCTCTTGCTTTCCTTTGTGGCTAAAAATAGATGGGCACATTTTAATCACATTTTGAATAATTTAAATTCATTTATCTATCTCAACGATTTGATGTCCGAAAGAAAAACACATTTTGTATTCATTCTTGACATGATGTACATCCCTCTCCTGATTTTATTATATTTCCAATACCCATAATATTAAGTATGCTATAAGCTATTTGCAATATGTCAAAAATACCAGGATGTATTTATGCGTCCAGTCACATTTTGCAGCATGCAAGCCCGGCATGCTTTTCTAGCTATTCTTGAATAATATAGGTCATCTTATTGATTAGTCCACACCTCTTTGAGGGTGCAACAGCTCAGTGAACCGCTTGACCATTGATCATTCAAGTGACCTCCTGTGTGCACCTCTAATGATTGGCTATTTGGTATCATACACATAATATAATACTGTCTGTAGCTGAGCTCTTGTTAAAGAATATTCCTATTGATTTATTGGCTACAGTCTTTCTTCATGGGCTGGTTATTATCTCTAGCTATTGATGGAACAGTCCATGAATGATTAAGCGAGCGAGACATGAATCCAACACTGTTTGAAAACTCCAGCAGCTAACAGAAGCAATGCTGTAGTGTTAGGAGTCAATAAGCTATATATACATGTGTTTTGTATTTTGGTTTAATACACCGAAACAAGCTACAGTTCATCATCATAGATACCATTTGTTGAAGAAGGCTCTTAACATGTTTTGTTGAGTAACAGATAATTTAACACAACACAGACCCCTGTCTTTCTTCCCTCCACTATACATGTAATTCTGTATGATAACATTTTTTAATTCACTCCTGAAAGCAGAAGTTCACACGATCTTTGGTTCCCTCCAGCAAAGCCTTTTCTCTGATTTTCCCCTCGTATCTACACGACCCCCTGCTGGGTTGGAGGATTTTCCTGGAAGGGGTTTCAAGCTGTTTTCTGTAGCAGACCCTGATCTCTTACACTGGCACCGGCACCCTGTGAGCAATGTTTTTCCAACTGGCGCCAACTGATTCTCTCACTTCATCGCTTCTTCTCACATTTTTCATATTTTTCACCTCTCAAGAAAGGGGAGTTTTCATTTTAGAAATAACAGATTGGTTAGAAAAATGAATTTTAGTTCAAATGTGATGTCGTTGCTATCAATCTTCTGCAGGTTATTAAGCATTCACATATCCTTATACATTTAAAATTCGGCCTTTATCATTGATATCACTTGTTTTACTGGATTATACTCCTTGTCTGATGCTTATAAAAAAGCAGTGTAGCTATTTTGCTTTAAGACATGTCAGCAGGACTGTGTTAGAAATAAAAGCTCTAAAATGATTGAAAATGAAAGACATAATATCAGTATTTATTGCATTTTGTTCTCCTACAGATCCTCCTTCATCCATTTCATTCGTTTTTTAACATTAGTCTGTCAACATTTATCTATTTATTTTGAATCTCCGCAATTATATGAAATGTTTCCTCCCTTATTGCTCACCCTGATCACATTTATTATCTCTGTTTTAGTGTTGTACCTATCTATTTAAATCACCCATTTACCATATCATTGAACCAACCACAAGTCTGCGCATAATTACTTGCTATATGTGAAATAAAATATATTTTTAATGGATCATATGGCCGGTTTTTCTATTATATTCTCCACACATATACAGATGCTGCCCATATGGAACCACCAATCTGGCCTACAAGTTAAAAACGAGCAATACAAATGTTACTGTTACTAGCTATACTGAACATTTATGTATTTTCAATTATCCTCAGTCATTTCACATGCTGTAATGACCTGCAGTCGTATCTTCAGCACTAGTTTGGTTGTTAATTTGCTCTACTGGCTACGCCTATACATTATATTACATTTAGCTGATGCTTTTATCCAAAGTAACTTACTATAAAACTGTTCATAGTGTCTGTGTCAGGTATAACACAGAATGGCACAATCAAAATTGGACTTAGAGTTATCAAACGATTTCCCTTGAGAAAAATGTAAATCAGCGTTTCAAACAAATAAAGGGAGAATTTTTCGCAATGTTCCCCCCTCCCCCCCCCCCCCTTTAACGCTTACATGTTTGGTGATAAACAGTGACTATTCTGGATTCTCATCAAATTTGCAGATTTGGAAAGATGTTACATGTTGACATTTTTTTCCAGTTTTTCATTAATTGAAGTCGATCAAACCACCTTTATCTCCAGCTCTGTTTCTCTTCCTCGGGCAGCCGGAGCCCAGGGCTTTCCCAGGGTGTCGGATTGAGGGCTGGNAGTCAACGGGCTCTTCCTGGGCCTCATCAACATCCAACTCTGAGTCTTCCTCTTCAGTGTCACTGTCCAGCCTTGTTGAGGATGGCTCTGTGTCCAGCTGAGCTGGACACAGAGCCATCCTCAACAAGGCTGGACAGTGACACTGAAGAGGAAGACTCAGAGTTGGATGTTGATGAGGCCCAGGAAGAGCCCGTTGACTGAAAGGGTTTAGCCAAAATGCAAAGGATCGCTTGAAGGAAGATTTGCATGTTTAATGGGACTTTTTGGAGGGAGAAGGGCTCTTTTCATTTAACATTTTGAATGGGACTTTGTGGGGATCTTTGGATGGGGGGTGCATTTTTAATGAGTGGGGTTGGGGGGGATGAGTAACATTTAACTCAACATTCCTGTTTTCGTTCTTCAATGAAACAATTAATTGTTCAATAAAATAAGTTAAAAAATGTTGTTTAATTTTGCATCGAATATTTCCAAAATTCCCCAGCTGAATTTCCCGTGGAAACTTTCCGGAAATTTACCGGAAACTTTCCGCCCCTTTGTAACCCTAATTCCTAGATATTGCAAAGGATGAAAGGTATTGGTTAAAAACGTTATTTTTAAGAGAAGCAACTTTCCCTTCGTCTGTCTCCTTAATATATTAAAAAGTTAAGTTCTCTCTGTTTCCCATTTGATATAGAGAGGTGAAGTCCCTCCCTTTCCGGGGGAGCTCCATGGGACCTTATTTCGGAAATGTATGTATTGAAGTCCGTTTGAATTGTGCTACGAATTACACATTTGTTTGTCAATTTAAAAGATTATTTTACAAGTCAAACAAATATAAATGTGTCGTAAAACTTGGAAGTAACACTTTTTTTTGTGTGAAACCGCTCAATGAACTACCTCTCCCGTCTCGCACCACACACCAAGACGGCCGTCACGTTGGCACATTTCACTTCTTTCTTTCAGAATTAGGCGAAAAGTATTAAAAGAGGTGAAAATCACTCCAAGTCTGGACATGTTGAGAGCTGTACATACACACAAGGGGAGTTAGTCGGTTCCGTAAGAGCCAGCATGCGGGACCGGGATTCTGGGATTTGTAGTCTTTCTTGTTGCGTATCTTTCATAGTCTTATATTTCAACAGTTTTACGACAAACTGTGACTTTTTTTACATGGAAATTATTTTTTAAGATTGACAAACATCATATGTGTGATTCATGGCACAATTCAAACGGGATCGAAAGATAATCTTTCTCTCTCCATTGACTTCAATACAAACTTTTTCCAAAATAAGGTCCCATGAGTCCCACCGGGAGGGGAGGGACTTCGCCTCTCTATATAACAAGGGTTACCATACGTAACCCCTCGTTAAAAAAATTAAATAAATCTTATTTTGACTTTTTGAAATCTGTATCAGAAATACTTTCATAATCACAGAGGGCAAATTGGTTTTCATGATGGTTTAGAATGAATAAAATAAAGAGAAAAACTAAAAATAGAAAAGGATTATATAAACATAAGATGTAAGAATGTGCAATAAAACAATTCAATATAATAGAAACATAAGAAATGAAAGTAAAATGTACAATAAAAGAGTTACCTACAATGTTACCTCAGAAAATAAAAAATATATATTTTGTTTGAGATAATTAACTTGCCGTAAAACCAAACTCAATTAGCTTCCTACAAATCTCAGCTACCTGGGTCCATTATTCAGCCTGTCTCCAGTCATATCTAATTGCTTCCTCATGGTTTGGTTACCACAACCTTCAAGTAGTTGTGAAACAACCATTTCTATTTCACAGCATAACAAAGTGTGCCACAGGAGGCATTGTCTGCCTAAATATAGTGTCAGCTCTATCCAGTGACATTGAGTGTTTGGGTGTGTGGCGAACAACAGGTGAAATCAATCACTTATTAAGGGTGGTAATTGAATCTTGCAGTTAAGGCCGTGATTTGTTTAGCTGGTGACAGTTGATCAAGGTTCCAGGGTAAACTCTGAGCAGATGGAATAATGTCTACCAATTAGAATAGTGGATATGAGGACCCTTTTCCACCCAATGTTGTTGTTTATTTCCCATAAACAGATGCAGCTTGAACACACTGAAACAATTATGTGTAAATGCTTTCAGCTCACGGGCTGTCTGCGAGCTGAAAGAATAAACTGTTTGCAAATAAGTCTCCAGTGTTTGTTTTGCCCTCTTTTGGATTTGCCATATGTGGCAATATAATAAATACCAGACAGTTTGAAGGAATGTAAAGCTGACTTGACACTGTGTACTGTAATGTGGCCATCCATTCATCAGCATTATCCTGTATCTCTACCATCTGGTTTAGACAACAAGAGTTTCTCTTTTTCAAACAAAATAAATGTTGACATGTCACATTGAAAAAAACATGTTGTAAATTATAAAATGGGTAAAAAAAAATGGCTGAAATCTGTTAAGCAGCTTTAGTGCGAACATCCACTGACAGTTCTCTCACTGTCATGGCTTACTGGGACACTTCAGTAGAATATGAACGCTATTAATGTTATTAATGACACCTGAGCTTTTCTGCTGGGACAAGTCAAAAGAGCTGCTTAAAAAAACACTACTTCAATATCACGTGAAAGTTTGAATTTAACTACATCTGCATGGTATTTTTTCATTGAAATTAGTTAATATAAATAATAATTGTAGAATATCATGCAGTGTAGGAAGAGGTTGATGAATTGGTGGCTTACTGTAGCAGATAACACCTGAAATGAGAGACTAAATTAAAGATATTTTACAATTTTATATCATATTATCATTATAATAATGTGATCTGCTCTATCAAATCTCATCGCCCCCACAAAAAACATTTTGCGTTTTATACACAATTGGAAAAAATAGTCTCCGCTTTTTTCAAATATATCCTTATGGCTTTTGTTCTTCAAATATTCAGCAATATATGACACATACTATAATGACTGTTACTAAAGCGGGATTATGGGAAAAAGAAAAAGGCAGCCGCGGTTCTATTCAAGATCTTGTTTTTATTTGAGATCAGATTAAAACCCTCGGTCCCGGACCCCGCAGTGTTACTATCAGCCTGTTTTTCATTAATTTCTTTATATTTCATCATTCATTGTTTTCAGAGTTTATCGGGTTGTTCATGACTGCCAGTGGTAAAAATGCTAGCTAGTGATAAATGGTTTTGAATTGACATGGCTGTAAAATGGCATGCTGTGTAAAAAACAATAACATGAACACTGAACAGTTCGTCCAGCAGTTTGTTAGTGGGAAGCCACTTAGAGACTGGTTTTCTCTCATGATCCCCATTGGTTGATAGGGGCCCCTTTATGGAAGGAAGAGGTATGAGAAAAAGTGGGCAAAATTGATGTGATTTTTGTAATTTTATGTGCCAACATTCAGACATAATGCTCAATTTCGTATATTTTCAGTTTTTTGGGAAATCATGCAAACCAATTACCTTACTAAATCAAGTTTTTCATCACAATAAAACAAGAAATTGCATTCAAATCCTATGACCATAACATTTTCCTTAACGGTCAAATATAAAGGCTCAAAATATATATATTTTCCCTAATGAAAGTTTAGTCCTTTTTACTCCAAAGGTGTTTGTATTTGAAACGTTTCTGAGGGCTTTAATAGTGGTACTTACAACTGTTAAAAATATAGGGAAAGATATGCCCTTTTATAATGTTCCTCTCATTCACCCATTCAAACTCCAATGCAACCCACTGCCTAACCATGGGAGCAGTTGGTGGTTTTAGAGATCCCTGAGCATGTATGCAGCCACAGCTTCACTTTGACAGTAAGTGTAATTTATTTCTGGAAACTTTGAGGAGTAACCTGTGGACCACAATGGACAATAACAGCTACCCTGAGAGTAGCTGAATCAAAGCTTTTATTGCAGCAAAACACCCACTAAAGAATGATTTGGGTGCATGATACTCAGGTACACACAGCGCTTAAAACTATAATGTTGTCATTGATCCACGACCTCCCAACCGAACTCCCTTTATCCTCAGACAGACGGACCATCAGACCTTATCCAGGAACCAGAGATCCAGTGTCCGTTTCCCAGTGCTTTCATGTGCAACACTGGGCCCAGTCCGGCCCTCAGGAGCTCATTAATCTGCTCGCCATCCCCAGCATGCCGCCCTGTCCCCCACCCCCCCACTTACCACACAACGCTGCGCAGGGAGAGGAAAGAGGAAAGGAAAGACACAAGTTGCAATCCAACACCCCTATGGACTCTCTCCTGGTGAGTGGGAGCATTGTGGAGCCGCTCAAACAAACAGAGGTTTGTGTGCCAACAAAGGTTCCCAGAGGAGCCCAGAGGTAAAGGAGCAGGAACACCGCCTCGTGGACCGCCGGCGCTCCACCTCTATCACTCTCCCCTCCCGCCCCCACAGCCCGTTTTCTAAAAGTGAGAGTTCACTGAGGAGCGGCCTTTCCAGTCTCATTCCATCAAACATCGGCAGTAGTAGAAGTGATGCAACGACGGGAGGAAAATCTAAATATTTTCTCCTGTCCTATTTGTTTCTCCCACCTTACTTCGGTATCCGTTTAAACTGCTAATAATCATCACCAACTTTTGTTTAACTCCATTTTAAGCTGTGAACAATGTCTCAAAATACTGGTTTACATTAATAATTGAAGTGAATATAAATAGAATATACACTGAAAATGCATTCCAAAATTAACTTTTTGTTGATTTGTGGGTGTGTACTATCTGATGATACAGTCTACAGATCACATGTGTGCAACAACAAGTGTAACAAAGTTGACCAAACCACTCAAAATTAAATGAAAGTTTTGATCAGCAAGTTAATATGTTCAAACCTCACTGTGGAAGATATCATCATCCTGGAAGCAATCCAATATAAAACACAATATTTATGACTGATGAATTTAGTAAATTGGTCAGATTCGACCCGAACATGACAGGAGGGTTCAGCATGAAATGTAAAGAAAAATTAAATGTCCAAGAATGCAATTACAAACACACACAGGCATTGCAACTGCATGCATATCAACTTTGCACACATCTTCAAAGACAGACTCTCTACTGACTCCTGTGTCTCGGGGGAACTCATTGAAAAGATGTGTACAAACGAGATGAGGGGAAATGAAGTTTAGTGAACACAGACAGTAACTCTGCACTGTGTCTCACAAGTCTGCTGCCGGGTAAAAAAGTGATGCTTTCACTTTGAAGACAACATAAAGTTTTGCGGCAGAAAATGTAACATTTGAGAAAATAATCAGAAAGCAAAGAGAGATTTAATATAAAAAGGTTCAGCTGATATTTATCTGTGAGTGTCAATCTGTACTTTCCCTCAGAATGATTTATATGACTGTTTGTTTATGAGGTTATTTATAATGACTCCCAAAGTGTGCCTGCCAAAGTCAATGTTTTCCCCCCTATGTTTGCCTCCTCCCCCCCTCTCCTGTGGATTATGAAGTGGTTTCAGCTTTGAATTCGGAGGCGACCCGTAGCTGTTTCCTTTAATCCCAAAAGATTTATGGAGGCCTGACTCATGTCACAGTCTGAGAGCCAGGCAGCAGCCGCAGGCCGCAGGGAGGAACTGACGAAGAGGAGGAGAAGTGAAGAGGGAGGTCTGCAGCCGGCCCCCTGCCAGTCACCCACCCCTCACACTTTTATTGGCTACCATTAAAGCACTTACAGTGAGACCTGGGGGGGGAGGCCTTCGGGCTCCACTCACCCTTATCCACTTTCAGAATTCCTTAAAGCACTCCGTCAGCATCCTGCTTTCTTAAAAATGCCTTCAAAAATCCCTGTTCTTTTTCCAAGCGCCAGACACCTTTCCCTCCCACTCTGACCAAGGATAAATCCTGCTGGGTTTAAACTTTTCACAGGGGGATTATGGGAAGAAAAAGTGGCCGCCTGTCAAATACAAGTGCTTTCAACAGGATGCAAACAAGACTCTTTTTATACAAGCATGTAAACGTGTTGGAACACCTCAGAGGAAATGCACTCACACACACTGAGAGAGAGCAAGGACGATGAGATTGATGGCTGATCACATTAGTGGATTGAATGACTATTCATGACTCGGCGCTCCGCTGGAGTGCCTCTGTGTGCTTGTCATATGTTTGTCTGGCCGGCTGTGTGAGTGAGGCGACCGGAGGATTCCTGCGATGACAGTCCCGATCAATCAGAGTGGCCGCTGGAGAGCAGGGTTCAAGAGCCGCTCTGGCAGCAGCTTCACCAGGGGCTCTGCCAAGGCAAAGAGACTGAGCCGGAGTAATGATTGCCATTAGGCAGCTTTATGAATATTTATGACAAACATCTGCAGTGAAAACGTTGCACGATGCTACGCAGAGCTGGGCTTTCTCTCAGACTGGCTGTGGAGCTAGGAGCCAGACAAACAGGAGCTGGACAGCTGATGTAGGGCAAGCCTCCGGAGGGTTAAAGGTCACAGGTGAGGAGGTGTCAGGCACCAGTAAGCCTGTTGTCTGCTTGGCATCGGACAGCTTCAGGGACTACTGGACCAAAAACCACATGCTAAACTGGTTTAAACAGAATTCCAAGTTACTGATGGTCACATCATTCCGAAATGATAGAAAAACCTTCTAAAATGATTCCTTAAAAGCCCTGAGAAGCATTTTATTTTGAAGAATGTTTCATGGTCACAGTTTCATATATCTCTTCATACAGCTGCAGTATTTTCATGTTGGTTTTTGGCACGTAGGAACAGATTACATCAAAGACGTGGTAAACATGTACAGTAAACATGATCAGAAACAGTTGCCACATGACACGGAGCAATATACAAATTCACTTGAAGTTATGTTTGAGCCCATAATGCTATGATCCTGGAAAAACTGTCCTGGAGTTTCTAAATGTTTTCTTTTCTTATAGTTTGATGTTTGGTTTCAGGCAGATAGTGAACCGAAGCCACAGTTGACTATACAAATATGAAATGTTAAATATGTTTTTATTACTTTTGGATTATCTCACTATCAAAAGCATTGCAAATAAATAAAAGAGAAAATAAATAACAATAAGATGTTTTTTACTTGGGTGTATTATGTGCAACAACAGAACTATGTGACCTTGGAAAAGAAGAAACCAAGATATTTAGGATCAAAATGATTGTATTGACAGGAAACCCTGCCTTTCATGAAGCAGATTCAGGCAGCAGCTATACACCAACACTGAAACACATGAGCACAGACTACAGTTTATAAAATTAAAAATTTAATCTGAGCTGACAGAAAATGCTCCGTGTTAGTGTAATACACACAGTTAAGCTCACACACACTATTTTATGAGCATATGGTTCACCTGCTGAATTAAAAACAGAACAAATGAAGCAAAGAAAGTGAAAACCATAAAGCAGACTCAGGCAGTTATATACAGTCCAGTAACTCGTTTTGTATTCTGATTATGTAATGATGTTATATATCATCTCTTGATCCCCAATCCTGGTAGGCTACTCTGATCTGCACAGGAGGCCCGTGCTGTTTGGATTTTATAATGTGTAAATATTCTACCTACAAGCTTTAACAACTGCAGTTACATGACTGCTACCACTGTTATATGGAGAGACTTAACAGGACAAACACACCCCCTTTTTTATACTGATAGTAAATAAGAAGAAGGTCATAAAGCCATGGTTAAACTGCTATAAAATAATGCACTGTATGTCATAATATAATACATTTGAATGCAATACCCATGAGAGGAAATGTAAACTGTTTAAACGTATTATAGTGAAAGTAGAAATGACATAAAGGAAGTAAGCTAAGCTCCCTTTGAAGTATGTAATCCCTACCAGATAGGTTGTAAGTCTTTCAAACAAGTTATAGTAATATTATACAGGGCTTGAAGTAATAAGTGAGCTTGAGCTCCAGAATTTATTTGACTGATGCATGCTTGTTGATAGGCATACTGCCTCCATTTGTGATGATGTCCTGACTGAATACCACATGTCCTGCTGTTTTTATGTAACAGGCAAAGCTAGTTCTGAAATTCAACTACTTAAATGTGCAATCTACCAATTCATGATGATGATTCAAATGAGGCAAATGTATCCCTTTATGTTGCCTTAGGTAGAGTCTAGAACACGGACATTTGACATGTTTTCGAGCTGCACTCATAATTTTTTTCATAATTTCTATTATGTTATCAGAAAACTACGGGGCCCCGGAGGGTTCATAGAGAGAAAACAAATATAAAACGAGGCCACGTTTTGTTAATTTGTGCGCACAAGATGTAATTCGTGGCCTCAATTTAAATAAAACGAGGCCACGCTTTATTAATTTGTGTGCACGAGACGCCATATTATTAGTTTTAGGAAGAAGATGCCCGGTCGCCAGGGCGTGTGTGTGTGTGTGTGTGTGTGTGTTTTTGTGTGTGTCTGTGTGGACACTTGATTTCAGAAGATATTATGATAGTGGCGTTCGTTCCGGTGCACTCCGACAGCATTTAGCACTAGCCTACATCGAGATTAAGATGAAACGAACTTCTTACACATGGAAATATGGAGTTAGTCAGATGTGTTTAAATTACTGTTCATGGTAATTTGAAAACAAATGCCGGTGTCGGACACACACATACACCAAACACACACACCCACGCAGAGCTGAGCTGAGCAGAGCACAAACACACACACATCATGTAGCATTTCACGTTTCCATAGCAACAACAACTTCCTGTCAACAGCGTAAACTCACCTTCAAAATAAAAGCATCTAAATAAAACAGGAAGTTAACCTAAATTACATTTAAGACATATACAACTGGAACAAAAGTAACAAAAACATATCATATCCTTTTCAGTTTCACAGAACACAAATTGGGTTATTTACACATCATGCGCCCTGGTGACCAGACATCTCCTTCATAAAACGAGTAATAGGGGGAATAATCGGGCAGTTCGATGTGTGTAGAGGCAGGCCCCCCGCGGCCGCTTACACAGTAAATTCCAATGTTAATAAGAGCACACAGAAGCTGTATACATTTCTGGGGAGTTTGATTTATTTTAAATTAACAAAAATACAAAATTAAAACCTATAAAATAACTACTTCACATACACCTCTGGCTGGGGCAGTTCAACTTGATTTTGGGGGGGGGGGTGCACCATAGTTTATGGGCGCTGTACGCAATATAGGCGTAGTTCTGTTAAGATAATAAGATGTAGTTTGTTGATCCAAAATTGGGTAATTGTTTTGTTACGAATTATGTTATTTTATTCTACTTTTTTAACTTGATGGGTTGATGCGCCCTTAGCATTCGCCTATACTGCCTATGCCAAGGGCCGGCCCTGTGTAGAGGTGTGTGTGTGTGTGTATGTGTGTGTGTGTGTATGTGTGTATGTGTGTGTGTATGTATGTATGTATGTATGTATGTATGTATGTATGTATGTATGTATGTATGTATGTATGTATGTATGTATGTATGTATGTATGTATGTATGTATGTATGTATGTATGTGTGTATGTATGTATGTGTGTGTGTGTGTATGTATGTATGTATGTATGTATGTATGTATGTATGTATGTATGTATGTATGTATGTATGTATGTATGTATGTATGTATGTATGTATGTATGTATGTGAGCAATAACGTGTACCTTTGAGTGGACTGTAAACTGAGGCGGGTGTGATTTGTATGTACATCTCCATGTATGTTATATATTTGTGGAATAAATAAAAAGTTAATTTGTCAGATGATGGTTGGTTTGGTGCCATTAACAGTAATATGGAAATAGACACACAGTCCCGCTCACCGTCAGGGACAGCGGTGCGGGTCTGGCTCTTCAGCCTCAGCGAGGGTCTGAACCGGGTCCGATCGTTGAAGCTCCAGCTCTTCTGCACCTTGGCGGGGCTTCCTCCCATCAGATCGGCCCCGCCCCCCACCTCGTTACCGGGGGAAGAGCGCTGGCGTTCGCTAACGGACGTCTGCCTGCTCTTCATGCTCTGACCCCGAGGACTCGCCAGACGGACCCGCTCCTTAAAACTCAACTTCTGACTGCAGGGAGGGAGGAAGGAAAAGAGGGGAGAAGAAGAGAATGAGGGAAGAGAAAGAGAAGACCATTGAGTGGAGCAAAAACATTTTGGGATGAGGATGGACGGGGCAAGAGAGGGGGAGAAGATGAGGGAAATTGGGGTAAGTGAGTATATGATAGAATTGGTAGAGTAAGAGGGTGAGTGGAAAAGTTCAGGGGTTGGTAGAGAGGACACAAGAAGAGAGAGGAAAGAGATGCCGTCAACATTTTTGTCCTCAAAAGTAAGAAAAGTTCAGACAAAGGGCAACGTTCTGGATTTTCCTTTCAGTCCAAACATCATTCATTCATGCCCAAAACAGCCAGAATACCCACCAAGCAACCAAATAAAAACCCCTCAGTGCTTCAATCCTTAGCCGATCAGCTGATAATCTATTTACGTACTGTGTGTTCACTTTTCACAACAGAGTTAATGAGATTTTATAAAGTGATATGTGAAGCATGGGGACATTAATAAATTGTCAACCCAAATTAATTTTGAGACTAGTATCTTCACAGACAATTTCATGTTTTATTTCTCCCTTTCCAGAGAATGCTCGGAGTGTTCCGTCTTTTGGCAATTTAAATAAATTGCACATAATATCAGCCGCATAAGAAGGAAAAGCTTTAATCCATATGTAGTTTAGATCTATAGTAACTTAACAAGGTGTAGTGGGGATGCATAAAGTTCGCAATCAATCGAACCCAATCAAATATATTGTTGCTAGGGCAAATAGACCAGCAGGCAGTGCAAATGGTTCAAATACATTTTCAATACCAACATTTCAAAAAATCGAAATAGTCCCAAAAGTCAGTGTTTCTCATGAACCTCACTGTTTTTTTCAATTACTTTAACATACGCTGTTTTAGATTGGATTTTATAAAACATATAAAGACTTTGGGAAGATATATATTTAGATTTTCTGTCCCAGATTTGTGTGGGAACGTCATCAACACTTCACAGCACATGGCAATACATGTTCTCCTGTGTTCAAGGCCGAACTAAATATTATTCGTAATCAATACATTGGTAGCCATGTTCTCTTAGACATTATGAAAGGATCGTGACAAGCAACATCCCACAATGCCTATCTACTAAGAGCTTTTTAGATGATAGGGGCCTAACATGCAATCTGTTGACGGCACATAGTATCTACTCTAATTTGGTTTATCTCAACAACAAACCTTTTTCTTATCTTTGTCCTCATCTATCTCAAAACAAGATATTGTTTGCATTCGACAAGCAGCAGGCAGCATTTATCATCAAAATAAAACTCCTGAAAAGGTATTGAGGTACAAAGAAAGTCCAATTTGTTTCCTTTGATCTCCTCCATGCTATTAATCAGTCATTAGCACAGGTAATTGGGCTAAGGGCCGAGCAGAGAGGATGCTGGGTAGCACTGTGGGTACCTCCTAAATGTCCGATTGTACCTTCTGAAGAGCCTCCTATATCTTAGAGGAGGATGGAGAAGGGAATGGAAAAATAAAGGAGGAGGATATTAAAAGAGCAGACAAAGGAGAAGAGAAAATTCTCTGCTGTCAATATTGGTGCAAAGTAAATACACAGAGGAAAGGTAGGGGACGAATCAGAGGAGAGAGTTACCCCCTGAACTCTCTGATGGTAAATATATTTACGACGTGAATTCATGACACACATCACATCAATGTCGTCAATCAAGAGCTACAGAACGTTTGAATGCATTACTCTGAACATGTACAATCTACACTTCCCAACAAATCTGACTGAACTCTAACCAGTTATCGGGGCCCTATTATGCTTTTTGGGGTTTTACCTTTCCTGTAGAGAGTTATGAAGGTTTCTTTGCATGTCAATGGTCTGCAAAGAGTTTCTCTCCCACACTTTGTTTACTTCCATAATATAGTGACATCACTGCGTAACAACTGAAGCTCAGCGTAAGTTCAACCAGGAAGACCGTCTTTACTCATTCATTTACTATTTCCATGTTACTCTCTCTCCTATCAATAAGTGATCGGGGGCGTCACTCCCCAGCTTAACCAATCACTTCGCTCTATTCTCACAAGCCTATCATAGCGCTCTGCTAACCCTTTTAAATCTGCTCTCCCCTGACAGTTGTCATTTCAGGTGACCCTCCAGTTGACCCCACCCCTTCTCACCTCCTGTCCCTCTGAATCCAGGGTCAAGCTAAGCCCCTCCCCTTCAGACCAACCCAAACTATCCATTCACCACCACCAGTGTCTCTAGACCCAGAGGGGTTTCATCGGATCGGTTCTCCCCTCCCGATTGATACTTCCTGCACAACGGGGCCTAATCGCCAAAATCACCATTACATTCATTTGTGTATCTCGGCAATAAATATGTATTCTTACATCAAAACCGTCTCTCCTGATTGAACTGCAGTTCTATTGGATAGTGCTCCAAAACTTTGTGCGTGATAGGCTAAGGGGCAGAACATCTCTAAGCACTTGACAAATCACACCAGAGCCGGCCAGCTGACCAATCAGAGCAGACCGGGCTCTGGTTTCAGACAGAGGGTGAAAAGAGGTGCTGCAGCACAGGCAGTATGAGAAAAATAGCTTTTTGAACATTACAGCATGGAGACATGTCCCAGTAGAGACACTAAATACTAATATGAACCTGACAATGAGCATCATAGGGCCCCTTTATAATCCAAACATACCAGGGACAAGCTCTCCAACTGTAATCAAAGTCACCTTAAAAATCATGTATGATGGTTACAATGATTATTTTGTGACATGTTGTGTGAAACGTTCTGACCGTGCGCATGCAGTGTTGTGCTCTTCAACACGTAAATATGATCTGGAAATAACAGGCTGTTTTCACTTTGAAGTTGGGGTTTAAATGAACTCTGGTGTTTGCCAGTTTATTATAATGTGGCTCAGTTTGGTGTCAAAGCTGCTATTTGAGCGTTGTTATTGGCTAAACAGCACTATTATGAGCACAAACAACCTAAGTGCAGCATCATTTGTAATAAAGCTTTTTTTATTACCCCATAACACAGCTGGAGAAGTCAGCTACTTGTCTAACACAAATGTAACCTGACGGATAGCAGTCAAGAGTTTCATTTGAAAGAAAAAGAATGTGAATGAACTGTACGAACAAACACAATGCAGACACACCTGCCTACACACATAAACTAACGATTAACCACCAATTATCCTTTCTTTCATGTTGCCTCTTTCTGCCAATACGCAGCGCTCACACACTCAGCATGATGTCCACTGCAGCACTTTGTGGTGCGGCTCATGTTTACCACTGCTGGTATTTACAAGTCTGCTTAAACGAGAACCACCAGCCGTTCACCGCGGCACCTTCCACCGCCGAGCTGCCGGCACTCTGTAAAACCACTAATAACACACAGTGGTGTGTGTTCTCTCTTTAGAGGGGAACACACAGAAAATAAATAGTGTCATAAAAGAGCACATAATTACGATTTCACTAGTTCAAATTGGACTTGTAGTCACAAAATGTTTTAAGGAAGGAAAGTGTAATTAAAGGCAGCCCTTACAGAGGGACTTCTGGAGGATAATGCTGCTGTGGATGCACAAAGCCTAATTAAATGTTGTTGTGTTTGAGGATAAAAAGCACATTTGTTTGTTTGTTTGTTTGACTTAGAGTATACACTTTTTATGAAGTTGAAATGCCTAAAACGCTGCTGGCTCAATATAAGGCTCCCAAATGTTGCCAAAGAAACGCTGTGCTGTAAAAACGATAACTAATTAAACTCACAAATCTCTCTCTGTTTTTTTTCCTTCTCATCTCCCGCTTTCTCCCATCTCCTCCCCCCCTTTTTCAACTCTCGTCTGTCTCTCGTAGACTTGTGTTTGATGAGTTATATAAATACCATCCCAATGGAAAAAGTGCGTCATGGTACAGACATGGTACAGACTCCTGT